CTACCATCGACCGTGAGTCACGCTGTATATCAGAAAAAGTTAACTCCATCATTAATACATAATTGTCGACCGTTTCCGGTGAAGAGATTATTCCGTGGCCACGTGTGTTAAGTTAAATCAATCAATCAGGAAAAATACCTAATTTGTTAACGATTAATTTATCTCTTTGTTTCAGAACGATCGTCATTCACTTTATCAGTGTATCCTGAATGGGTTGAACCGCAAGCCATGATTTCAATCAGCAACGTGGATAACCCACTACCGTGATGTCTTATTTTACAATGTATTTGCAAAGATGTATCACGGTTTTGGTGACGATTGTTTGTGTACACTTTTGTAATGGGGCTTCGAAAAAGGGTGAGTGATTTTCTCGTGAGATATTGTAAAGAATGACAGAAAAGTCAACGAAATTTTATTAACACATTATTTTTCGAAAACATTCCATATCATTAAGTCAATTTTGAAAAGACTGATGTTTGATGAAGACTGTAATCGAAAAGGAGGGTATTTCCAAAAACCATTTTTTGAAGAATTAATGACTTTTTCTCAATCAATTTTGACAAGATACTCTAATTCTTGGCAGTGTAGTGAGTTCTGCAGAGAATCTGAATTTGTAATTGGTTTCATAACTGCAAATATTTCTTTTTCTGAATTAAGTTGTAAAAAGATCATAGGAAACCAAAAGATTGTTCACTGCGCAATGAATGAGTGTGAAAATGTTGATAAATCATGATTATGATTGTTCATAATTCTATAGAAATAATTTGTATAACTTGATTTAAAAAATATTGTTGAAATAATTTTAATCTATTTCAGGATGTTCTCTGAATGTTCTTCAAAATCCAAATGAAAAGTTGATGCCAGTTATACTGTACAATTTGACTACAACATTCAATTTGGTTGTACCCAACAGAGGCGTCATCAATCTCAAAAGTGGTGAAGGGGTAACCTTGTCATGTCCAAATAAAAGGAATTTACTAAGCCCAAGTGAGTGTGTCAATGTAATCAGTAGAAATTAGTGTGTAATCATTCATACAGTTCATTGTATGATATGCAATAAACTGTACTAATGAGTTTTAATATGGATTGTCATCAAGTATTGGCCAGTTCTATTCAAGAAATAATTTGTGTTTTGTATAATTTTATTTGCTCTGGGACATAATAATATACTTTCGCTATTACCGGTTCGATGGATGGGACAAAATATTGTTTCAAACCCTTTGAGGGTCAAAAAACTTCTGAAGTGTAATCGGTATTCAGAAAAATCCAACAACTGCCATCATCAAAACAATCCAGTATCAAAATTTTCATCTTTACAATCCAGTAAACGTGACAATGCATATCGACATAATTCGGACGAATATGATTCTAATATGATTTGAAATATCTGGAAGAACAAATAAAATTGAAATAAATATCTGAAATATCAACTATTTAAGCAATAAAACGTGAAATAAAACTATAATAACACGAATAAAATATTCACAATAAAAGATCAAAATGACCACACAGTAAAAATAACAGAGTGAAAATAAAATAAAAATGAACAAAACATGTGAATAAAAAATGAATAAAAAAAGGGCAATACACGAAAATTAATCGGGACCCTTTTCCATCAGTTGAAAAGAAGTTGTACCAGACTTTGGAAATCACCAAGTCTATTTTTCGGAGATTTCCGCCAACGTCACACCACCGTTAGCCCCCTCATCTGTATGAACTTAACAAAATCCGCAAAAAAGGTGTTCCGCTCAGACCGGTCATTAGTTCCAGAGAGTCCAGATTTTTACTTCCAAACATAAAACTACTACAAGAAAAAACTTCTTACGTGAAGAATTCGAATGATCAGAGGCAATCGAAGTCACGAAGCAAAATAAAGTAATCAGTTTCGAAGTAGAAAACCGTCACACCAATTCTGTCGAAGGAGCACTTCAAATCCTACAGAGGACCTGGAAAATAGAACGAACTCGCCTATAGATATAATCCTAGAAATTCTAGGATGCTGTGTACGGAACTGCTATTTCCAACTGAACGACTTATTATTTTCGTAAGATGAGGGGTTGCCAATGAGATCGCCACTTTCAACAGTTACAGCCAACATATATATGGAATGATTCAAAACTCTGGCCACTGAAGAAGCCTACAAGAAGCCCTGCATAGTATGGAACCATGGGAATATAGAACTAGACACCTTTGTGAAGCACATCGATAGCGTTTAACCTTCCATTACTTCCTTAATGGAGGACCGCGTATACAAAGAATTGCCATTCTCAGACGTATTAGTGAAGAGAGCCGACACTGATATGAAAACATATGTATACCGAAAATCCATTCACACGTGACAGTATTTGAATCACGAATTCACCACAATCAATCTACCAAAAGAGAAATCATCAAGACTAGTGGACCGTACTTTCGGGCTCTGTAATATGAAGGAAGGATTCGAGAATGAACTAGGCATCATCATGAAAGATCTTCAACGGAATGGCTACTCCAAAGCGATAGTGGAACAGACTTTGGCTAAAAGACAGCAGGAGCTTAGCAAGGAAGACAAGCCGTCACAACCAGAGCTTGCACTTCCCTACATCAGAGGATTACCGAAAAGGAGAAGAAGAATTGGATCCGAGTACAACATCAGAACCTGCTTCAGATCCGGAAACACTATCCGTAGCAGCCTCATGAAAACCAGGCCACCAAACGCGGACTGTGATTCCAAGAATTGTATTTACCGGATAATCTGTGAGTGCAGAGAATCATACATTGGTGAAACCAAGAGGCCATTGAAAGTTCGCATTGCCGAGCACAAGAGAAACACACAACAAGTATAAACCAGCAAATCGGGAATAATAGAGCATGTTTGGGGTCATGAACATAACATCATGTGGTTTCAAGCTGAGATCATTCTCAGTGAAGAACATTGGTTTGAGAGGAAGTTCAAAGTAACTTCATATGTGTTATCGTCGTAAAGTAACTTGGTTTAAAATCTTTTCAATTTTTATTTGTTCTGTCAGAGATTTCAAACCATATCAGACAATGGTAGTTTGAACTAGTAAAATTCAAGTCAATATCAATCTAGCTTATGATTCTGATGGAATATGGCAGATGCACTCGAAAACTTCCATCTGTGTATTACAGGCTCTCCAATTTGTCCTACAAAAATAGTTTTCACTTTCCAATAAAGTATTGCTGCAGTAACATTAAAAACATATTGTTCACAATTGAACAGTTCAGCATTATTTCATTTACTAGCTTTGTTTTTGCTCACTGATCAGCGTTAACAATTTGATCTACTCGATACTACTATCAATATTTGTCGAAATCAAAAAGTAGTTCAACTATGTAGTTTACAAAATTATCCTCCTGTAGAGAGTACCAGTAGAAATGCACGATACAAATTGTTTGGAATTACCTATCGTTCAAAATTACCCTTGATATCGTTGCTGGAAAGATCTGTACTTACAATCCAAATGGCAGTCCCTTCAAATGAATCAGGTGCTTGGACTAATGCATGACTGGTCCTCAGTCTAGAAGGTCTTCTTGATGATCACACTTTCAGTATATCCGTTGGTCTTTGATTTGATTCAATAATCTCCAAACGTTACAAACGCATGTGGTTGTTGAAGATTACTATTGGTTTTTCATGGTATGGCATACGTTCAGTACTGGCCGAAAACCATATTGTTTGTGAGCTGTGATGATGGTGAAAAACCCGATTTATCATTATTGATAAGAAATCAAGCGAGTACTGGAATCGTAGGTGATTTACACGACTGATTTCAGCATGGTTCTGCTGCTGGTATCGGCCGGGAAAGTAGTTGTTTTTTGGCAGAAAAACCTGAACCTAGTAGAAATATTTGTAATTTCAGTAGTGTAGGATTTCAGTTGTGTTGACGTAATAGCAGCCTCTCACTTCAACAAGCTAGGGTAGCAGATAGAAGTAGGAAAAACATCAAAATCAACAAATTGCAGGATTTGAGTGATTTATATAGCTTTCTCTTCAACGATGTAGAATTTTATAGAGTACTTAGCGAAATAATAAAAAAATTTCTTCAAGACATTGGTGAAGAAATTTTTGAGATAATCAACGATGAGAGATGCCCTAGTTTAGTATTGCAATCTAATGAGGTGATGCTATATTATGTCAGGGATGAATAAGATATGAATAATCATGCATCAGTGATAGTGAAACACTATTATTTTACTCTGTATCATACTCTTCATTTCTGTTGATTTTTTTGAAGTAAAAATAGTTTCGATGATAGTAAACACGGAAATTTTAATAGAAAATTCAATTCAGAAAAATGAATTTGAACAAGCCTGACATAATAGCAGAACGGATGATTTCTATGGCTACCAGGAATCATTTGTTGTGAATCGAATTGCGATATGCTTCACAAAGTCATATAGCAAAGGTAGCTTTTTGAAAATTTGTAGCGACATTCAATGCTTCATACTGTTACTTCCATGAGAATATATTGGAGCTGATGGTTTTTCCCAAGAAGAAAAATTTCACCATTTGAAAATCAAAATATCCTAAGTAACCATTTTTCATATTCTGAACTGTTTGTATTATAACATGAAAGATTATTTTAAAGTTTTGTAGGTATGAGAAAACTTTAGTTACTTCAATGACCTATCTTTATGGTTCAGCTCAACATATACATTACTGCACTTTATATTTATCGTCATTTGGAGGACAACTTCCTTGAGAAACACACTTTCCGATATTGTTTTTGCAAATAAATACATTCTACAGTGATTCCAAAATCATACAATTTCATTCAGGCTCGGTTTTCACATATGTTCATGAACTTTTTTGCAGTGACTAAGCAATTCCATAAATAGCGAAAATAATTATTATTTCACTGAAAGTAGAGGGCATTCAATATTTTTCTAGAATTTATATGGGTGTACAATTTCAGACAAGAATTGTATGCTCGATAAATCTGCAGAAATATGGTGGAATTGATGTAAACAGTAAAACAACAACAAATTGAATCATTGAATCTAAAAAAGATTTTTGAATTGACATCAACAGCTGCGGAGGAATAACATTTTGCGCTACTTAGATTTTTCATTTTTGCCAACTGCTTGCTATATCTTATAAAAGTGTCACAATTACCACATTGGCCTTTTTCAACAACTATCCTCTTGATAATTTCACATACTTTTTCATTGATTTCCATTCATGTACCTGCTAAGATAATAATTTCGTCACAATTCTAGGTATTTTGGCCAAGCGTCGTCTTATTATTACTATGGGATCTTTTCAACTGTATTATGTACTGAAAAAGCTCAGGAAGTTATTTTGTTTCATTCAAAATGCTAATGTTGATGATATAAGTGCTAATAAAGAGATATCTATGAAAATCATATCAATATTATATTTCAGCAAATTCAAATGCAACTTTTGCCGTTTGTGTTCATGACACAACGTTGAAAATAACCAACGCAGATTGGGATTTCATGGATGTTGAATGCACGAAGACTGTGCATGGAGAAATTAAGAAAACTCGTGCAAGATGTGGGGACAATAGGGGCAGAATAACAGATATTGGATATCCAATCACAAACCAATACTTCAAAACATTGATAAGAATTTGCTACGATGAAGAAGAAGGCAACACTATCTACACAGAACACACCATACACGGTGGAGAAATACAGTGTGAGTAACTAATATAATCGAAATCATTGAATTATACAGAGTGGTCACTTTTTTAAGAAGAATGTATTAGTAACAAAAGTTGCATAGCAGTATTGTCAAATAGTTGAAAATAAATCGATGGTGTCAGGGCCGGTTATTGGGATATCATAAGGAAAGTAAATTCTGTCATTTTGATTTTTCTTTTTATCCCAGGATTTTTCAAAAATTTTCAGAAAATTTTACGGGCATTTTCATTCAATAGTAAATTCTCCTCAATTTGCCGCAATAAGATTTCGAATCCAACGTTTATAGCTCTCTGGGCCACCCTCAACAACATTTTTTTCAATACGGCTCTGTCTGCCAGGTCTCGCATCTTGGACTACAAAGAAACAGGTCGCCCGGAAAAACTATTGAAAGTCAAATATTTCCATTTAACTATGGTCAATGACTAAAAATGTATTACTCATTTTTTCCAGATTCTTCCAAGACATCGGACCGTCCATCGTTCAGCGTTGCTGGGCTGGGGTCAGGCGTAGCTGCTAATGTTGCATACAAGAGAGCCTTTCAGAAATCAACGTTCAATCAGTTGTTGGGATCGGCTCGAATCGCTGATGAGTATATTAATTCCAAATCATATCTGGCCCGTGGTCACTTATCGCCCAGTGGGGATTTTCTTTTCGCTAGCTCACAGAGCGCAAGTTTCTATTACATCAACACTTGTCCCCAGTGGTGAGTTAGAATATCTTATCTTTGTTTTTAGGAACAAAACACAAGCACTACAGGAAAATTCTTGAGATGCTCTAAGAGCGGTACCTGTGCGAAAGTAGCTACTCTCGTTGGATTTGAATTCCTGGAGATCAAATCCATTTGGAAAAACTTTTCAATTCATTACACATGAAAGAGTTCTAGGTGGAATAGAATATGCCAAGTCACTTGAACGCTTCCTGTCAATGAATTTATGAAAGAGAGACGAATCTCCAACCTATCTTCGATGTTCCAGACCATCAAGGTGCAAGTGATGTTCGTGTCTCCAATTGGGTGGGTGGTTTTTTCTGGATGGAATCCAGCAGCTTCAGGGTATACTAAAGGGCGGAGCTCTCCGTACATGAGAACAATACTTCAAAGAAGGTCTGATCTGCGCCTTATAAAGCAGAAAAAGTTGCTGATTTGCGTACAGTTTTCTGGTTCGGAACATTGTTCCAAGCTTTTGAGGAGCAGCCTATGCAGTTCCAGCGACATGATTGTGCCAAGACATATTGGTGTCCATTCAAAACCTCGAACAAACTTATTGAAACACAAAGCGGAATTATCTGTCTTGACATTATTACATTCGGTTCGGATATAATTTACCTTTTTGGAAAAAACCTATGTTTGGTTTTTGGTGACATTGAATTTCTTTCACCCCAATTCAAGATCACCTCTAGATCCTCATTAACATAGTGCTACTTCCTGCTGCCGGTGAAGATGTGCATCACGATACCCTGGAATCCAAATGGAATAACGAGACAAGTGTGCTGTCGTCAGCGAAGCAATATATTGGATTCCAGGTTTTTTTCAATAAGTCGTTGATATACAATTGAAGGGGAGTTGGAGTTGGAGAGCATTCGAAATATATCTATCGACGGCCACTTGCAAGGAATGTTATTTCAGGAAGCTGGAGAACCACACACCAAAATTATTCGACAGGCTACAGCATCAAAATTTGACCAGCAAACCCTCATGCCACACACAGTCGAATACTTTGGAAATATTGAGCGCAACAGCTCTTGATTGAATTTCATTAGTTCGGACTTTTATTGTCTAAAATGATTTGAAGTCCCTGAAAGAACTAAAAAAGAAGTGTTGAAATTATATAATATCAGACAAAGAAATTTCAAACTGATTCATGAAACATTGTCAGTCACCTTCAAACAAGCTCTTGACTGTCCATGTTTCTCGATTGTGTTACTCTAAATATGGTAACTTACGGTGACATACGATTAAGGGTCGCTTGTTGATCTTTGTTTTCGCTTGTGTTAGTGGTAGAATTGTGGTTTTAGTGAAGTTCTGATTGATAGCTTCAGCTACCGACCAGAAGGATCTGGACCCGTTGGGATTGGCAAGCAGTTTATCCCTCATTCTCTGATTGTGAAGTTCTTTGCTTCCATTTATTTCATGTTTGCAGTTGTTACGAGCATTAACAAACCTAGTTCGGTTTTTGGCACTGGGATTTTTGTGCCACTGCCGGTAGGTAAGATTTTTGGAGGCGAAAGCTTGCTTGCAATCTTTGCTGAACCAAGCTTTACCGTTGGTATTTCGTTTCATTGAAAAAACAATATATGACTCAATGGGTGATAGAATAAGTTCCGTGACTTCAAAAGAAAAAAATTGATGGATCATTAGAGCTGAAACCAACATTTAGCCAGAAAAAATTTCAGAAATGGTCTTGAAGATCATCCCACTCAGCAGATCTATAATGCCAAACTTTGCGCGGTTTAGATTGTTACTCAAAATTTATTGGTTATTCGTCCAACACTGAAATGAGTTTGTAGTCACCTTACGGTGACTATGTAAATTTTTGAATTGGTTGTTACGTATAGATCCAGAAGACTAGCATATTCTTCATCTCAGTCAGGAATCTAGGTTGGCTTATTTATAACCTGAGTAAGTCCGCTGCTTATTGCAAAAGCCTCAGCTTCGCGACCTTGTTCGTCGTTGATATTTGAAAATTTGAGTCATTCGATATTGTGGACATTGAAGGCATCGAATATGGAAATTTCAACACTGGAAAGATTGATTTGCAGAAAGTAAATGGTGTTCGCAAGTGAAGAGATTAGAAACCGATATTGTGTATTCATAACATCAAAGTTTTGGGGTTCCAGCATTTCCTCTCGTTGACAGGAGAAATCGCTTTGGATAAAAAGAGATATTTGAAATTCACGTCTGAATCGGGAGTAGAAATAATAGCATGGATATAGAAAATATATTCTTATGAATGTATTTTTCTTTCATTCAATGACTTATTGACTCCCATTACAAAACAAGAAATAAAGTAGGGATCACAGTTTTAACTGCTATAGAAATATTTTCATTATCATTATCAAGAATTAACCGACCCCATCAGTTTCACTGTGCATTTTCATATCTCAAAAAATTAAGTTACTTCACTCTTGGATAAGAAGATATTCATTTCAATTACTTTCAGGCAGTCCATAAATGGTGGAAACTGGCTGAGCGTAGAGTTCAGCGTACGAAAAGCAGCTGAATATTATCGACACACATTCACCATCATCACAGGCTCCTATGACGTCCTTGAACTTCCAGACTCCCACCGACATCCAACAAAGATTTTTTTAGTTTCTGGGTCCAAATTGCCCGTTCCAAAGTTCATCTGGAAAATCATGTACAACGAAGTCACGCAGGAAGGGATTGCTTTTATAATTGTGAATAATCCTTTTTTGAGCGTACTGCACCAAGATCATATTTTGTGTATGAATTTGTGTGAAAAGTATGGATGGGGTACGACAAGTTGGCAAATCATTTCCAAGGGTTATGTTTATTGCTGTGACGTTAATGAGTTTGCTGATGTTGTAGATACTGTACCTTTCTTGAAAGTCAGACGTGTTTTACGTGGTACATCGTAAAAACAGTATTAGATCACTATAGAACAGATCGCGATCCACTTCAGTATATACCGATATTATATACTTTCAACTTCAATTCTGAAAACAAAGAAGGATTTGACACTGCTGATATATCAGATATAGAATATATTTAAAAAAATCGCTGTTTCCTGATTTCCTGTGGAAATAAAATTTGTGAGTTAGTGACTTATTCAATTATAATATTTCTTCAACACAGATTCTTATTTCTGTTAACATCAAATGTATCGAATTTTAAAATGAAAAGATGTTTGGGGAATACCCAAAAACATGAATGTGGGTGTTCATCAATTCACCATCATAACAGCTGGTACTTTGAAAATTTGTCTGCTCTGACTTTGTGAGGAAGAGTGAGATATAAGATATGTGATGTTGAAAAAAATTGCCCAGAATATGATATTATAACGGAGTTTGAATTGTACATATGCATAATGTACCATTAAGGAAAGTTTCAGTTAAAATTTTTTGGAGTATATATAAAACATAATAGTATTTTTGAGACATTGATTGAGTGATATGTCGGGACATCAGTGGTGCCATTAGAACCACACCGTCAGTGACCATGGAGATTCTTCTAGATCTACCTATTTTCCACATATTTCTGGAGAGAGAAGCTAGATGGATTGCATATTGACTTGTGCGCATTGCCAATTGCACAAATCAATGACTGTTGATTGACACTGGAAGTCACAGCATTCTGGAAATGAACTCCGACTTATGCCTTCAACTGTCAACTACGAACTGCATCCTCCGGGAGAAAAAACTATTCACAGCAGATAGTTGTTGATTTCCAGATAGATCAAAAACACCTTCCCGTTCTGGCGCTGCTCTTTTTAGTCGCAAAACTAGCACAAAGATATCACCCTGCCTAGGAACCTATGCATGCGACTGTATTTCAAGTGGAAATTTACGTTATTGAATTGTGTGCGGGGATATTGGGAGAATCCAAACTAATACACAAGTCAATAAAAATATTCTCGGAGTGGCGTTGGAAGCTCTTGACTCCTACCGAGCAACGTCTGAATTGGTAGCAAAGTGCCAAAAATGACTCTCCTCGATAGAAAGATTTAACAAATTGTCTCCTGTCTGGATTCCTGGCCATACTGGTCTGGAAGCCAATGAGGGTGCTGACTCCATTGCAAAGGAGGGTGCTGCAAACAGAGCACCTGAAAGAACCTTTCAGAATTGGTTCACTCCAAGGCGTTTATTCACTCTTCGAAGCTTGATACCAAAGAGTTGTTGGACTAAAGTAGGGATGAACTACGATGTCTAACAGGCCTTCTTAAAGGTCACTGTCATTAGGAGCATCAGATGCAGAGACTCGGACTGTCGGAAGGCAGTGTGTGTCACGTCTGTTTAGAAAATGATGAAATAGCAGAGCACATACTTTGTGCCTGCCCCGCTGGAGACTGAATCAGGTTTTTAGAGTTCGGCAGAGCCTTACTGTCACCATCTGACATGAAAGACCACTCTCTATACAAACTAATCGGCTTCGTTAGGAAGCTGAGTTTATTTGGTCGAGTGTGAATAGATGTGAGCCACAATAAACCCTTGCAGATTGCGGTAGAGGGACGAATAGACACTTTGGACCTAACCCCACCTAAGTGAAAAATGACATATTCGAAATGTTTATGGAAAGTACAAATAAATCAACAATCAAGAAGTCCTTTTGAAACTATTGAGTTTGACCTAAAAAATTCGATTCGATTACATTGAAGAAATATTCCAACAAGTGTGTTGCGATCTACTCTTTGTGAATTTTATGATCGGACAATTAGATGCATTGAACGAGTGGACACACAGAGACACGTCGATAATTCCTTCTTCACACATTTGATAATGATTAAGTTATATTGAAAATAAGTCGATAAAAATTATCAAAGCCATCGGCACCGCTTTCAAATACAATGGAAAACAAAACATTTGTTTTGTTTCTTAGGTATCTGCGATTATTTATAAAGGATTTCACGTTTGTCGATTAATATTTCACATACAAAATGTTCACTCTAAATGAGATTATACATATTACCATTACTAATGTTCTACATTGTCGAGTATATGGTTTGCGAACTTTTAAAGTTGTGTTACATATCGTTGCAACAAACATGAAGATTGTGATTCCCTAAACAAATTAAAATCCAAGGTTATTGCAGAAATATGCATGAATTTGAACAAAGTTATGCTCAACTGATTTCGTTATGAATACCTCACGAAAGTGTTTAGGGTGATCATAAAAAAACCTTACAAACTGGAAAAAATTTGAAAAACTAAAAAATGTCTTAGGAGGCCATGTTTGGCATTTAGGCATTACTTTCAAGTGCCAAAAACTGTCGTGCAACAGTTGCAGCTTTACTTTGCAACAACTTTGTTTCATAATTGATATTGGAACATCGAGATGTTTCCTGCACTGATGAAAGGTAATACCTCGAAACCGGTCTGTAGGTCATCTACTTTACGTGCTGCGGGATGAACGAGGAGCCTCTGCAAGACTTTCCTCTGCGAAATATATTGCATGAATACCTGTCGGATATAATTCAATGTGCATCGTGTTATGAGCCAGAGAAGTACGTTTCATCATTTTCATGCTGAAAATTTTTAGTGATACATCGCATACACATCTGATATGGAACCATCTTCTGTGAACTGTTGAAACATACAGACCATTTCCTTTATTGTGTGGTAACATTGCTTTATTTATTCTAAACCGTAACAGTACGGTAATAGTACAAAGGCCAAATGTCATTTACAGGGTCTTTTTCCCTTCTCGAGTTATACAGGGAAAAATAAAAATGCTGTTTTCGGGTTTTACGAATATAAAGTTGTTATTAGAAAAAATAAAAGAAATGGACCGTGGACCAGCAAAGCGAAATACTTGGTGGTCATCCTAGACAAGAGATTAATATTTCAGTCAAACGTACGCCAGAGAATTGGAATGGCTAGTCACGCCAGACAACGACTGGCACCTATCATAGGACGCAGAAGCAACATGGGATTGAAAGTGAAGTTGCTAATGATCAAAACCGTCCTCATGCCCATAATACTGTATGCCTGCACTGCCTGGGGCCAGTGCGCACAGACATACAGGAAGCAGATACAGTCGTTTATGAACGCGAGCGTAAGGGCCGCCGTAAACGCGCCGTACTATATCCCAAATAGATATATATACAGTGACTTAGACCTGGACACGCAATATGTGGACGTGTATATGAGAGAACACACACTGAATGCTCGAATTGCCGATCTCTTTGCTGAATACACCTGAGTGTCTGTCCATAAAATTTCTATGGCAATTTTCTAACATATGAGTGTAATGCATCATATGCATCATATTTTTTGTTTGACATGGTAGAAGAAACTTCGTACTTTTATGCCAAGACAAACAAATTTTAAGAAAGAAGGTATGGGAATCGAGCTGGCTGGAGAATTGATCCATTGTTTTCAAACAATTTTGCTGTATTATGTATCATTTCAGCGCGGACGTTCAGTAGAAATTCATTTAAGTGGTGAAGTGACTGAAAAATTCAAATACATTTCACAATTCAACTGATCATCGTTAAAGAAAGGACCTGCTATGTTTGTTCCCATAATTCTTGACTAAACGTTTATTCTGAACCTTTCCTGAAAATGTGTATTTCTTTATGTGAATGTTCATTCGTATTATCCCACCTATAATGGATGTTTTTGTTGAACTAACCATTATGGGTGAATATTGATTTGTCCGTCCATATTATTTTTTTACAAACATTTTTAACGTCTCAATTACTTTGCAAGACGTGCTCTCCTTCCGTAATGGCTTTTATTAACGTGAAAACTTATCCTGTAGCATTTGTATCTGTTTCTTTTTGTATATTTCAGGCAGATTCTACAGAAATCCCTGGTTCGTGGTCATGTCTTGTAAATAACCATCTAGAATATTACCGTAGTTTTTTTCCCAACACCAAACCGATATTTCAACACCTAGACAGATGTTTCGATCACCAAGTGATCATCTTCAAGAAAAATATTGAACTTCTTTTTGAAGATGATCACTTGGTGGAAGCTATGGAAATCAATAAATCGATTAAAAACTCAAAATATAGAACCCTTAACGAACAAACAGATTTGTGTAGGTCTCCACTTTTGAATTTATAAAGATGACAACGCAATTAATCACAGTTTGAAGTTTATGTAGTTGTATTAATGAATGTAGGTATATATATATTATTACCTACTCTCGGATATATATACTCAGATATTTCTCTTAGGTCAGTAGTGTTAGAATACTTGAGAATGGTGTAAAAACCGAAACCTTGGCCGTATTAATATCAATACATTAAGTAAGTGGAAATTAGACAAAGTGTTTTATCTATATCATTTAATTGAAAAATAGACATATCTTCAATATATGCAAAAAATAATGTTTACAGGGATTTTCTTTTTTTTTTCGGGAGATATTTTTCATCAAATATCCCCACTTTTGTACCTATTCGAGAATCGAATACGAAATAACATTTAACAAATTATAATATATTTCAACATCTCGAAATAAACAAAAAACTTTCCTTGTGACTAATTCACATCGCCCGCCTCCAGATATATGTCGACATTTTTACTTGCAAATGAAAACCTGAATAATTAATGTAATATTTCCGCCGTCGAATTTCGTAATTGAAGCCCGTAAGGACATCAGCTTTCTTATTGTTCAACTTCCAAAGTAAACACTGACACCCCAACCAAGAATTGTTCCACTTTTTTCCTGTGCCATTTTAGTGAAACTTAATTTTCTCTTATTAGCCGCCTACAAAAGTAAACTTTTTAACTTCGCGTCTCTCGGGAGGCTCTATAGACAGTCAAATTGGAATCGTCAATGGACTCGATGGGTTTATTAAATCAAGTGCTGCTGTTTTTGTCTTTTATGGGGCGAGTGGGGCTGTAAAAATAACTGATTCTGAAGAAAAATTTGAAATATTTTAAATATATCTCAATGATAGTGATGGAATTGAATATCAGCATGATCTGAATCTAAAGTTTGGAAAAAAAATAGTCTTCAATGTTGAAATCCTATTTTTCTATATAATTTTGGGAAAGAAACAGAGAAATTTCATCAGAAAATCAACAGTTCCAATGAAAATTTGAAAAATTTCAGATTATTCGTGCCAATGAAGAGAGAAGTTCTAGAAGTAATATAAATAATGAGCTCAGGATTGAAGATGATGATATTATAAACATCAAAAAAAATTTCATTCATGTAAAATTATTTCTGCAGAGTAGTAACAGCAAGGTAGGGGTTATCAAA